ACATAAGACAATACCTTCACAGTAGGTATGTTGACGTCTGGTGTATTTAGACATGAAGCATAATTAGAATAATCAGTATCCTCAATTAACAATTCTCCATTAAACTTAAAGCCACAACACACAATGAAAGCAATAATATCCTCAACATCATAGCATTTAAACTGGTACGAAAGTAGATATAAGCTGTAAAAAAGTGTTTTTCAAAATCACAAATAATTGTACATACAAAAATTCATTGCCCTGAACACACTATCTCCAAATTGATGAGGTTATAGCAAATGTATTTCCATCACACATGCACAAAATCAGAACATTTTAACCAGGCAGTTGCAAACATATTGATTGCATCTTGGATCTCAATCTTACATGTAAATTTAATAATTGACAGTGTTCATTATAGCAGAATTCACTACATTTTTCCAAGTAATCTTGAACTTAAATTAGAAATTCTACATTAATTTGCAAGGAATTTATTAATTCAGTGATTGAAAGTTACTTTGGATTCCCGTTAGCTAAGTGTTGCTTTCTTGACAGGTTTGAAACTGTTCTCTCTCCTTAGCAACTTTCCCACAGTGCTCTTGCAACCTCCCTTTCTCCCTGTCCCCTCTTGCAGTCTCTTTCTCCCTCCTCACAGCCTCCTTCTACCCTCCCCAACCAATACTCCAAACAGCCTCCTTCTCACTTTACACACTGCTGTTACAACTTACTTCTCTCCACAGCTTCCACGCAACTTTCTATTTCTCTCATGCTTTGCAACCTCCATCTCCCCTCATACTTCCCTTGCAGACTCCTTTTCCCCATCACCACTATTTATCTTTGCTGTCACCTTGATACTAATACCACATGCCCCTAGCTGGTGTCCTCATGACCCAGACACAACGCCCAGGTGTATCTGGGGATGTGCAGTCGAGATGGATTAGTCATGGAAAATGCAGGGTTACAGAGATAGGGTGAGTCTGGGTGGGATGCTTTCTGGTGTGGACTCAATGTGCTGAATGGCCTGCTTCCACACTGTAGGGGCTCTATGATTCTATGAGAAGGCACTCCAGCCTCAGCAAAATGGTTTCCCTTGCAAAAGGCTCAACTTACTGGCCAAAAGCAGCTCTTTGTAACCCACTTGCCAGCCCTCAGTCCTCTGGCCACACTTCCCTTTCCCCCCAGCAATGGGCTTCCCCAATGACTTTCTTAATACCCCCGGCACTAATTCAGATTTCTCCTTCAAACACAAGCTGTTTCTTTGCTTCACTTCTTGTTGATATTGGCAGCAGGCTCAGGAGAACTGGCCTTTGACCTAAAGGAGCAACACCACCATTTTCTTCCATTTATATGGTTGTCAGGGTGGTGGTAGTAGTGGCAGTGTTCTTTTCTCCAATTGCCCTGGAGAGTGAACTTTTGCAGGTTCACTGGGGGCTGATCGCCCCCCTCTGTTGCTGTGCAAATATCCAAACTATCCCAGGCCCAGACATTTTCAGCTGCCTCATCAGTGACTTTTCTTCCATCATAAGGTCATACAGGGGAGATGTTAGCTGATGATTGTTCCACTTTCAGTACTATTCTCACTAGCTACTTCTCCAACAGGACCCAGGTACTTTTCAATTCTCAGCTTCAACAATTTACTCAACATCACTTCCCTTGCAATTGTAATTACCTGGAGTTCCTCCCCATCTTTAAATTCCCGATTTCCCAGCATGCTACATGTGTCCTGAAGACCAATACAAAATAACTGTTAAATTCATCTGCCATGAATTTATCCTCTTCCACTAATTCCCTGGACTCATTTTCTAAAGGACCAATGCTTACTTTGTTAACTCTTTTCTTCTTCAAATATCTGAAGAAACTTTTCTTTTTGCCTTTGTATTTTTGCTGCACTTTCTCTTGTACTTGAATTTTTCACACCTAATTAATCTTTGAGTAATTCTTTGCTTTTTTTTATTACTATTCTGTTCAACCTTCCAATTTACCACCTATCTTTGCAGAATTGTATTTTCTTTGAATTTGATTCTACCTTTGACTTTTTTTTTTAGCTCACCATGGATAGCAGGTCCATCCCTTAAAATGTTTCTTATTTGTTGGAATGCATCTTTTCTGCACTTTCTGAAATATCCCCTTAAATGTTTGCCACTACATCTCTGTTGACCTATCCCACAATCTAAATTGCCAGTTCACTTTCACTGGCTCTGCTTTCACAGTCTCATGTTTAAATTCAAAATTGGATCCATACCACTCTCCCTGTGTATAAAATTCCTCTTCATCTCTGTTTTAAATCTGCCACCCCATTGCCTGGAACTGTGACTTTGTATCTTAGATTGCCCCGTAAAGGGAAATGTCCACTCCATGTCTACTTTGTCAATCCCCTTTAGCATCTTATATACTTGAATTAGATCTCCTCTCATCCTTTTAAATTTCAGCGAGCTACAGTGCCTCTTACTACTTATGTAGTCTCTCATCTTATCTGATTTGCTTTTTCTTCTCTTTTGTCTGTCCCTTCCTGTCATTGTCTGTTTATCATTTTCCCCATTTTTTTCTCTGTTGCATTTCCTCCACTCTTTGATTCACTGTAACTTCCCAAATGTACATTATATTTGTAGATATAGCACATAAGTGGGGTTTCTGGCCTGTGATTTGTGAACTAGCAACCAGCATTTTTGACTTACAGTACTTATCGTCCTTTTCTTTCACTTCTAATCTCTTTCTGATTCATCTTAATTCATCTGCAAAGAATTCTTGCTACGTCAACTGAATTATTGACTGATATGCTTTGCCCTACTTGCAACTTCTAAGGTTGTGAGATTAACTCAATCATGTCTGCTTTCCTAGTTCCTCTTTTTAATTCTAATAATCTATCCTTAAGTTTTTTTTGCAAATCACCCAGGAAAAAATCTTCAACCTTCCACAAAGCCTTAGTAACTTCCAAAGAAATTTTGACATAAAAATGCACAAGAAACGTGATCATTCCTTTTATATTTTTCCATTATTACCCCACTACTAACTGCATACTGACCACATGCAGTATTCCACTGCAATGTTCCATTTTGTTATATTGAGATAGAATAAATGAACTGTTGCACCAGTCTCACTTCTCACGTCACAACATCAAACAAAAAATATTATACCCAAGTTCCAATATGACCAATTGTATGCTTTCTGTGTATTGGACATAAATTGAATAAATCAACTAATTGGAGACTTCCAATAATTGCAGAATTGGTTATCACAATTTGTTGTCCAAAAATAAATGTTTACCCCCACCTCCAAGTAAACCAAACCACACGCACACACACTTCAGGTTAAGGGGAAAAATGGATTTCTTAATCTGCAGTGATTTCAGTTAAAATAGAAAAACATTTTCTGCCCAACGGTAACTTGAAAAAAAAAGTTTCAATGATACTTTTCATTGTCTTTTTCTAAAAAGGGTCAATCTGTGCACCTCCATATTCTTTCAAAGCCAAGTCCATAAAGATGAATAAATATGAAGCATCTTCATAACAGAAATCAGAGAGCAGGAATAAACAGGCACGTTATTACCAGTGGGTACCATAGGATTGGTGCTTGAATCACAGCTATTCACATTCTATATAAATTATTTCAAAGTAGGGACCAAGGTTGTTATTCCTAAATTTATCAATGACACCAAACTAGGTGGGAATGTGAGTTGATAATGATCCAAGGAGGATTCAGAGAGATTTGGACCAGCACAGTGAATGGGCAAGAGCACAGCAGATGAAATATGATCCAAATGTGCATTAACCATTTGACAAGAGAAAACAGAAAGGCAGAATAGAGAGAGAGAGGTGGGAAGTACTAAAGTCCAAATGGACGTGAGTGTTCATCAATCACTAACTCTAGCATGCAGATGCTCCAGCAAATGGGAAGGCAAATGCTATGTTGGCCTTTATTGCATGGAGATTTGAGTGCAGGAGTAAAGATGCCTTGTGCAACTGTGAAAACCCTTGGTGAGACCGCACCTTGAATATGGTGTATAGTTTTGGTTTCTTTATCCATGGAAGGATATATCTGCCAAAGGAAGAGTAAAACAGAGGTTCACAAGACTAATCCCTGGGATGGTGGGAATATCTTCCGAGGACAGGTTCAGGAAACTAAGCCTTCATTCTCTAGATACAAAGAATGAGAGGTGATCACACTAAAACTCGTAATGAAAATCTTACAAGACATGACTTGATAGATATGTATTGGAAATGTCACGTGGTGGGTCAGTCTAGCACCAGAGGCAGATTCCTGGAATTAGGGGTAGACCATTTAGGACTGAGATGAAGAGGAATTTCTTTACTCAACAGGTGGTAAGTCATTGGAATTCTCTCCTGGAGACTTGTAGAAGCTCAATTATTGAGCAAAACAGAAATCAATAAATTTTATAATATTAATGGTATCATGGGACTTGTGCAAAGTGGGGATAAATGGCAAAGAGATAGATGATCAGTCATTATCTGTTCAAATGGCAGGGCAGATTTGATGTGCTGAACAGCCTACTCCTCCTCTATTACGTCGGTGATTGGACAGGTGTTATCTCTCTATCATTACCTGTAGCATTATCCTATGGCCCTGAATGGGTCTATTCCCATCACAGTCTTCCATTTTTACTGATGTGAAAGTAAAATGTTTTATTATCTTGTCCTATACTCCTTGATAAGTTGAATCACAGTTCCTCTTTCTTTCTAGACCAATAATATCCATATTAAAATATGCTTTACAATGTCAATATTATTCCTTTTTATTATAATTTTTGGTTTCCTAGTCCTAATGAAGACACAGCAATCAGAAAACAAATCACTTGGCTGTCAAAAAGTAAGAGAGGAACATTTGCATACATTAGAGAGATTCAGAGGTCACACTGCCAGATACAGCAGTCCCCAGCATTCTATTTGTTGAAAAATTGGATGCATTGTGAAGTACATTTTCTGCAATAGCCAAAAACTGTCTCTTGAAATAAAATCACATGAAATTAGAAAGCCCTGCAGATAAAATGGTAATGGTTTTCTCACCTGTGAATACAGTTTTTTCCTTCGAGATAAGCCATACCAGCAGCAGCATCCAAAGACATCTTCACAAGTTGCTTCATCTTTAATTCATCTTTCTTCTTCCGTAAAAATGAAAGGAAATCACCACCTGGACATAAAACGTGACATAAAGATGCAGTGATGTCCCATCAATTTACGGATTTTTAGAAAGGAATGTCTATTGTTATGATCCCAGCTAATGTTACTACCGGACAAAGTAGATCCCAGACTGAAATCTGGATTGATAGGTAATCTTGTTTTCCTGGTTTTAATGAGGTAGTCTTTCACAATAACACAAACATGCAATGCTGCCAGTTCAGTTCTGACAACAAAACATAAGTTTATGACGCAAAAGAAATGAAGGAAAAAAAAAATGAATAAACCAATCTATCTACATACAACAGAAGTTTAAAAAGATTTAGAAACACAGTACAATACAATCCCATTCATCCCTCAACCCTCCTTAACAGTACTCGCAGAGAGAATTCCCTTCCACTTCCCATCTGTAGGCTTAATTCAATTGTAGCTGCAACCTTTGTACCTGATAGTCTCTTCCTGGAGGCTTCATTTAACTAGGCTTATTCTTTTTCAGCTTCAAATAACTCCTTCAGGGTTTTGACCAAATACTTCTGATATGGAACCTTTAAATTAAACTCTTCACATTGAGGAAACCTCTTTCTTAATAGCCCTAAATTACCTCCATGTCTCAGAAGCAACTGTTGTATACACCAAGCTTCAATCAGGAGTTCAACAAAACTGTCAAACAGAAGCAAAAAAGATTTTTGTCCCACTCCCTACAAGATATAGATCTTTCCCCTAAATCCAAAAAAAGTCCTGAATTTTCTGTCTGAAGGCCTAATGCACAACACTTGTTTGCTCCCACAAATCCATTACTTTCTAGCAAGTCTCTCTCTAATACTGTTTTGTAAAACAAATCACATGGCTATAAAAATGCTTACAAGTTAATCATTAAATCTCTTCAGACAGAAAACACAAGAGCCACGAGTTCAAAATTCAAAACTCCAAAATAAATGGTATTAACATATAAATTATGCAACTTTCATTGCACAATAAACTACACATTTATTGAACATGCACTTAAATTATCATGAATAATACTGACTTGCTAAAGACGTAATCAGAACATTTTAGATCTTCTCCACTGCTCATCATTTCTTGATCTGTAACTAGCTACTGGATGCAACATAGGAGCAGGAGTCAGTCATTCAGCCCATCAAGCCTGATTCAACCTTTCAATTTGATCACGTCCGATCATCCACTTTGAAACCTTCTTCCCACATTATCGTCACAGCCATTTAGGTCATTGGCACTTTGTGAGGAAGGGTAATAAGACATTAGTTTTCTTAGTTGCCTTCAGTAACTTATTGACAAAGACAACCTGGCTCCTTTGTACATTTACACTTTCTAAGCTCTTACCCTTTAAGTAAAATGAGTAATCTCTAATTTTCTCTGTTATACTCCACCTGTGATGGTTCCTGCTCACTCACAGACTCTCTCAACCCTTTGGAAGAACCTTTGCATCTTGCGCATAACAAATATTCCGATCTACCCCTCCATCATCTATGAATATATAAATATTACATTTAATCCCCACATCCAAATCATTGGTAATATATTGTGAACAAGTGGGGCCCCAAAAACTGATCCTTGCATAACCCCACTATTTGCAGGCTACAAATACAAGATTGACCAGTTTATTCCTACTGTTTTCTGTTAATCGATCCTTAATCCATTTCAGCAGAACACCTCCTTTCCCATGTGCTTTAATCTGGCAAAAGAATAACCTGTTGGGGACTTTATCGAAAGTCTTCTGAACGTGCAAGTGTACTATGCCCACCAAGTCACCTTCATAAAATATGTTACAAATGTCCTCAAGAAAAATCTAGATTCCCCATTCACAAATCCATGCCGACTCTGCCTAATCAGATCATGATTATCTATGTGTTCATTTATCACTTCCTTTGTAACAGATTCTGAAATTATACCTCTTTCCAATGCAAGGCGAACAGGACTGCTGTTTCCTATTTTCTCTCTCCCTCCCTCCTTAAATGTTGATGTGACATTTGTGACCTTCCGATATGTAGGAACAATTCCATAATCTGTAGAATTTAAAAGCTGCTTACTAATATATCCTGTCTCTATAGCTACCTCTCCCTATTCTAGGATGTAGAAGATCAGGTCCCCAATGATTTATCAACCTTCAGTCCAACTAATTTCACTACTCCTACTAATGTCCTCATTTTGCCTCATCCCTTGGATCTCAAATTCTGGGACATTTTTTCTACTTTCCTGAGTGAAGACAGACGCAAAGTAATTAATTAGCTTCTCTGCCATTACAAATTCTCGTGACTATGCCTGTAATGGACCTAAAGTTGTCTTAGCCAAATGTTTTCCTTTTAGCCTGTCCTTTCTCGATAGCAAATATCCTTAAATATGCATTTCCCAGTCTTGGTCACCCTGCAGCCATTTTTTCGAAATGGCAAATAAGTCACATCCATTAACCTCTTCTTGTACCTTTAAATCATCTACATTCTTGACAAGGTTGTATGCATTCAGGCAGAGTGCTTTTAACTCGTTTTTTAAAAAAAGAATTCCACCTTCCAAGCTTAGTTGATGCTGGCCTTTGTTTCTCCTGCCTTCTAATATAACCGCTACTGTTCTACATTCTGTTGTCAACTTTTCTTACAACCTGAGCTAACCCTCAGGTTCTCAACATTTGACAAGCAAGTTTGAAATCTCCCAAACAGCACCAGCAAATCTTCTTTTAGGATGCAAGTCCTGATCCTATTAAGTTTAATCCATCCAGCTTGTATAGATTCTACCTGTCCCAATAACAATCCCAATGCCACAGAAATGTCATGATGCCCTCCATCCAACACCAGTTCCCTAACCATGTGTTCAAAAAAATGATTCCTTCTATTCCTATGCTCATTTGCATGTGGCATTGGGGTAATGCTGACCTTACTGCTCTTGCTTTTTAAATCAGAGCACAAGACCATAAGAATTAGAAACAGAAGCAAGCCATTCGGTTCCTCAAACCTACTCCTTCATTCAATAAGGTCGTGACTAATCCAACACTCCTCATGTCCACTTTCCTGCCTTTTTCCCATAACCCTTGAATCCCCTAGTGATCAAGAATCTATCACCTCATGCTTAAATATACATAAGGTTCTGCTTCTACAGCTCTCTGTGGCAAGGAATTCCAAAGACACTCAACCCTCAGAGAAGAAATTCCTCTGCATCTCAGTCTTAAACTGGAAGCCCTTAATTCTGAGATTATACCCTCTGCCCCTAAACTCTCCCATGAGGGGAAAAATCTTTTCAGCACTTACCCTGTCAAGCCCCTTAAGAATCCTATAAGATTACCTCTCATTCTTGTCGACACCAGAAACAATTTTTCCTTAATGAAGGAGACTATAACGGCCCCCAGTACTCCAGATGTGGTTTCATCAGCACCTTGTATAGTTGCAGCAAAACTTCCCTACTCTTATATTTCAACCCCATTGAAATAAGAGCCAACATTCCATTTGCCTTTCTGATTAGGAAGATACAATAGGGGAGCAGTTGCAGCTACGATAGAGGTATTTACGGACTTGTAGATAAGCACATGAATATGCACGTAATGAAGGGGTACGGATCAAGGGCAGGCAAAGGGATTAGTTTAATTTGGCCTCACCATCAGCACAATATCATGGGCTGAAGGGCCCGTTCCTGTGTTGTACTGTTCTATGTTCTTTTACCTGCTGCATCTGTGTGCTAGCTTTGTGTTCTTCCAGTAATTGGACAGATAGAATAGAGATAACATTATGCCAGAGTAACTGAGCCACATTACCAGCCCTACTTAAAATCACAAACTGGTTGTTCATATAATTAGGAGCCACTCAGGATTGCTTTTAGAAGTGCTGTTTAATCATGGAATTACATCTAAAGAAAGAAATGAGGTTCTCAGTTTTACAAGCATGCGCTGGTTGAATGGTTGCTCTCTTTGAATTTTGAAATTCTTGGATCTGTCCCCATGAAAGAAAAGTTCTGACACCACATTCTTCTTTCAGCAACACTCAAAATACATGCTATTAGAATATCTTGGGTTAAATTCGTTCCAAAGCTTGCTAATTTTTCCATTACATCATTCAGCCACACAAAGCAAGAGTCTAAATCAATACTAGTAATTGTACACATTAGTTAAAGGAATTGTCTCAACAACACAACCTTTTCTTGATATTAGTTAGCTGAATGCAATTGGGTCTGCAGTTTTAGCAATGAAATAATTAAACACATGACCTTCTAATTCTTAAGTTCTCTGCATGGCAGGTGCTGAGTCTATTCCAGCTTGAACAAGGATCAAACCCCATGCTGTTGGCATGAATCTGAACTACACCAGGCATATGGTCAACTATCCACCCGAGAGACCCCAACCAAATTCAACGAGCTCAAGCTTAGAAAGCTCAGAAGATAATTTCCAGGGAGGACAAAAAAGCTACCAGATTCTCTGTGTCTGGCCGTAATGCAATGATCCTTCTACAAGGTACCTATGCAAACACAGCAGTTTAAAGAAAAAGTATTATTGAATTATATTCAATGCATTTAACAGTGTTATGTTCCATATAAAAAACTTTGTAGAAACTCTGATTCCGGCAGGGAGGTGGTGGGGTGATGGTTAGCTTAGTTGGCTGGACAGTCAGTATGATTCATATTAATGTCAACAGCATGGAGTTTGAACTCCATTCCAGCTAGAGAGATTCAGGAGTTGCCTTACAGAAAATTCAAGGGGAAGAACGAAAAGCCAGTTTGGTCAACTGCTGCAGCTCCAGTTAAATGGTTAAATTCACCTAATTGATATCAGGGAAAGATAGATTGTTCAGATATATGAGGAAACAATAAAGGATATTTTATTGCAAATAAAGTTACTTTGATATGGGATGCAAGAGGTATGGGGAGAAATGGGAAGGGGGGGGCAGTGCTTGGGGGGAAGGGAGGGAATCAGAGAGCTCCCTCAAAGAGATGACAGATACAAGACCGTGTTCCTAAGAACGTTTGTCCAGTTATTAGTTAATAGCCGATTTCTGCTGGGACGTAAATGATTACCTT